TGAACGGCCGATAAACACGTGACGCGACTTCCGTCCCGTGACAAGGGAAGAAATATATTGACTCATCGTTCGAAATCGTCAGGAAAATTTTTAGTCGATGCTTTTCGACATTACCGGGAGAAACTCAAGATGACTAACTCGCTCTATTCTTGTCCGAACGTTATACACTTGTATCCAATGGGAAAGTGGGCTAGAACGTATGAAATATCAATCCCTCCTCGGTCTCGCGTTAAACTTTGCACCGTGCTTTCTCGGTTTTCATTTGTGTATTTTTTCTTCGCTATATCAAGTTTTGTCTCGTCACTTTCGTTATTTTTTGTTTAGTCGTTATTTCGTATCACTAGAATCGTTGAATAATATCGTAATTTGATTTCTGTTCGATATTAAATATTTCAAGTTTCGTCTTTCAACAGAGTAAAAATATGTAAATTAGTGTTTGATTCGTTTTCTCACGCAATTGTCTATTTTTCGCCTTGTACGTTCCCATATTTATTTCAGACCTATTATTGGATTGACAACTAACTGATTGCGGATTTTGTCATTACCATCTAATGACAAAATCCGCAATCACTTAGTTGCCAACCCAATATATTCATAGTATCTACGTAGCCAAATCAAAGCAAAGCGTTTGCGACAGATTAATCGACGATGCTTTCAATTTATTTTAGATCAACCAATTTCCGTAATACCGAGGCGATTTGTTATCATTTTCGATGTTGCTTGCTCATGTCCATTCAATTAATTTCCTTTTTCAATTCACGGTACTTTGGACTAACTTTATCCATAGTTTCGAGTTCATTGATTGTATGCATTTCTCTTCTTATTTCCTCGACAACGTTCCTCGTCCTTCTCACCTTTCACAGAATCCAATAGTGTTCCTTCACTCGATTCCATTCGACTGTCAGTAGAGTCAATAGCATTTGCGATGACAAAGTGCCATCGTCCTAAGTGTACCCCTCCGTGAAAATAGAAAGTGATCGCGGTGTTGTGTCGAGTCCTCGCTCGTCTCTTCTCGAGTGGCTGCTCGTCGATATTTTTATTGCCCGTTCGCTGCGTATTTATACGCCGGTGCTTCTATATCGGGAACGAAAATATTTCTAGGTGGATCTGCGAAGAGTGAACCCATGCAAGAAGCGGTGTTCCGTCGCTGCCTTCCGCGATTTCGGCGACCTGATTAAGATTAATCTGCGACACCGGTCAGACAGCCACGGTTCGTTTTCACTGCCACCGGAAGATTTGACACGATTTGTCAAAGTTGTTACCACGAGTCTGACACGGATCAATATAGATTCGACGCATCAGTTGGGATTAGGATGGCCGTGCAGGCATTGGTATAAGGATAGCTCGATATTAGTAGCGAAAAGGGATAGAAACGCGTGCGTGTATGCGTCTACGTTGATTATTTTTGAGTTGAAATATTAATAGCCACGGTATAAGAGATACGTAAATAGAAAACGTGGAGCGCAACATGGGTAAATACTTTTGAGAATGTTTTCTGAAAACGCTTTTAAAAGCTTTGTCGTGGCGCCACCGTTACCAAGAGTCGTGAATTTAAGCTCCTGGAAGCTTCGATAAAACCTCGACCGATAACTTTATAGTCGGTCTCTGCTTTTCAGCTACTGGATATGTTGATTACTGTATTCGAGCGAGTCTGGCGCTTATTTTCTAGCGTGTTCTATCGTGTGTCGAAAGTTGGCAGCACGACACCAGATTCGCGATGTGAGTGCCCGGAGAAAGACTTACTCCTTGCTCTATGTATAGTAGATCTACCGATTTAAGCGAAAAAGCTCATATGTACGTACATAAAGTGAAAATTATAAACAACCGAATATTACAGGGTCATCGTCGTTCACGGCTGATTCATTGTTATTTACAAAAGGAGTTTTAGCAACTGGAAAGTTGTTTTACCTTTTTGTATTGTATTATAATTTTCTAGTTTTCCGCTTTCTCTTGCGATTAATTAATTTTCAGATATACAATTTCAATAAATAATAGTATGTTAATAATTAAATTCGTATATCGTCTAAGATATCGTAAAATCAAGTTTAAATACGCTCGAGTATTTTCATTTCAAATCAACGATCCGGTTAATTCAGTCCCAATATCTACTTCATTTTTCATCTCTGCTTTCGCATCGAAGCTGGAAACAATATAGTAATAATAACAAAAACAACAACGATAACATTAACGTTACGAGATTAATTCCTTATGAAAGGAAGAAGGTATCAATTAGGCAAATCCGACCATCCTACGACCAGCTGATATAGCGGAGCAATTAAAATCCCCGGGAATAATTCAACAATCTGACAACGAGATTTCCTCAGGATACGGGACGTCCCTCGTTATCAACGCCACTTTAATAATCGTTGCTCCTTCAGACTTTAATCAACTCGCATTATGCACCGGCTAATAATGATCTCGATGCACGAGATCCTTCCCTTTCCGTCGAGTGGCGCGGTTGGATTTCCACCTCGGGTCACCGGTTCGGTTTCGAGTAACCCTCGAACTCGAACTGTAATTAGCTTTCGAAATCCAGCGAAAGCTGCAGTCTGACTGGTTCGTACTCGACGAAAAGGAAACGTCCTTCGTCTCCGAGTAAAACAATCGTCGGCGCTTTGATTCGCTCGACTTTCTGCCGGTTGTCGCACGAACTGCCATTTCACTGTCTTTATTTCGTCTTTTTCCCGTTCGTCCGCTTTATCTAGCCAATCCGTGGCTTCATGGTTTCAAGGATACTTCAACCGATTCCTCTGGGCAGAAGTTTCCATTTCGAGGAGCAGTTCCGCGGATCTGTTGTACAAAGAGACGAGGTCTGTAGAATCCAGTCGCCAGAGAAACGTTAACCGTGCCGGCGCTGTCCTCGTTTCCTGGACAAAGACGGCCGTTTTGCCAGCAGTTTGTCTCCACCGTCCGCCGGATTCCTCCGCGGAATCCTTCGGAGAATTCCGGAACCGCCGCGTCCGACCCCTCTCCATCTCAACTCCTCGTGGAATATTATACGCTTGCACGGGCACGCTACTGTAGCCGCGCTTGTACGTGGTTGGCGCCGCTTTCGTTATCGCACGAGAACGCCGTCGACGAGGAAACTTCGCGGTTCACGCTTTGGCGAACGATGATTGGCAGAGGCTGTAGAAGTCTTTGTATTGCTGGTTGATTGTCTTTGGGTAGCGAGTGAAATTAGGTAGATGAAATTCAATTTCTTCCTAATTTTCAGTTTTAGAATACTTGGATAGAGTATACTTAAACGTACATTTTTATTCAATCGAGGAAAATTTAAATTGATAGAAGAAATAAGAACGATTTTCTTAAATATATAAACTCCTACTACCAACATATAACGTTACATTTCAATCCATTTACGTGTTATTATCAAACGATACAATATTGTACCATTGTTAAAAGCTAATACACAGCTTGTTCTTCGATATACGTCCAGCGATGCAACCGGTTCCTTCACCTCGAATTCTTATTAAAAGTGTAATCGCTTTTGAGTATCTGCGATACTTCGGAAGAATAATTCCCTTCTCTTCGAAATCCTCTCGAGGAACAACTCGGCCTATACAAAGTGCTTACAAGGAACGATTCCCTTAAAAATATTCTTTCGTAGAATAATTCTCCTCCTTTCGTCAAAGAATAGCTTCGTCTACCGTCGTAAGATATTCTTCCGCGGAATAAACCCCTTACCTACTATCATCCTTTCTCGAAACATTCTCTCAGAGCATGATTTCCTCGATACTTTTAGAGGTACAGGAACGTTCGAGTCGAAGGAAAAGGAGGAATTATATTGAAAACTAGAAGGTAAACTCCATATTTGACTTGGCTGTCGGTGGATCGTTTGAGTTAACTCGATAATAGCCTCTTTCGTCCGATTCGACGTCAGATAGCATATCACCGACAAAGATCGTTCGCATGCTACTGATTTACCGCGGTCCAGCCTTGTTCGTTCATTTTAAAATTGCATTGGTGCAACTATTCCACGTACAAGATCGATTATACTCGCTCGAGAAGATGTCTCGTGGAATGTTTCTTTCATAAGTTCGAGGGTGGTTTTTATTTTGTATTTACTACATACCGCGCTTGTTTTCTTATTAGTAAAATAATTGAAATCTCTAAATAATTAAAATAAATTAAACGTTACACATTAAATGTTACAATTAAATGTGAAGATAATTAAAATGTTACACATATACGGCCAAAGTAGATTTGGAGAGATTCGTAAAAGTCCTTAACGTGATTGCAGTTGTATGTATCAAGAAATAATAAATAAAATCTATACGTCTTAATAAATTAAAGCTAAAAATCTAAAGCTAAATTATGTAATCTTAATCATTAATTGCATTATTAATTAATCGCCATCAACAGACATATCTACACTGTGCGCATAGATATTATACCAATTACTGTTCGGAGAGAAAACCTGCATACGTTCATCGGGAAACAACGTATCGTTGCTATTCAACAACACGCACTTAGCATTCGCAATATAAAGAATCTAACCTAAAGAAAACACCGTAGAATCTGTCGTTCATCATCGAGTTATCATCGAGGTCGGTAAACACCACTTTCCCAAAATTTCTAAACATTCGAGTTTCCTCGCAAGATCGAAGCTGCGACCGTCTCTTTGGGCGGGTACGGAAGCATCAAGGAGCCGACGCGGCCGAACAGCGAGAGGACGTGAAGCTATTCTTAAAATAGGGCTCGACTGAACGAAGCGAATGAACGAGAGAAGCCGATACGTATATACGGAGGGTAGGGCGAGGCGCGGGACGTCAGTACGCGTTAATCAGAGGAAGATGGAAAAGCACGGTCGAAAGAGGAGCGTGTAACGAAGGCTCGGGAAGAGAAGTCGGAGAAAGAGAGGGAACACGGCGTGCCTCGCGGGTCGCCGGCTCTTCTTCAGGGTCCGAGCTTCGTCCGAAACGAAGCGCCTCCGTTCTCCTCCTC